CTGGCAATATTTGTATGGCAGGATGGACATATGTGTGCAATATGCTATATTCGTCCCCATTTCATGGTGGATCAGAGTAAACAGCAGCTATCTCTATTCAACTTAGATGTACATGACAAGTACTGTTTACCAGAAAATAACATTCTAATCCTAGCTAAATTAAGTATCAAACTCAATATTAATTATTGCATAATGATGTGACAAATGTCTGCTGCATTAATTGTTGAAAATCCTGAGAGGAGCCCTGGGGTATAAAAAAAAGTACAATGTTTGAGCCAAAAACGTATACCGGTAATGCAAAATTTTGCAATCGCTGATAGCAGGCTTCCGGGGTTAAAATCTGTTGTTACCTACTAGCCTATTTTATGTTCTGATTATAAATTATTATGAAATCTTGAACATATGCTACACATCTGCTGCCTGAAAGCCAGGTACAGGTAATACGTATGTGGTTCATATGTGTATATTTAAATAAACCATCTGAAAATAGTTATAATATTGGTAGTGTGTAGCGTGTTCGCAGGTCTTAAACAAGAACAGGATACTGGTATAATTACTGACTATCAAAAAGCTATGTAACAGACCTGAAAAATTACAACTTTACAAACGTTTTCTATCAAAAGTGTGTTGCAGTTTCGGCTTTGAGGAGCCCCAACATAAGTGATCACATGATTGGAAACATTGTAGAGAAGACAGATCTAGCTCATAGTAACAATTCTTAATTACTTTTGAAATCAGGAAATCATTTAAAACAATTCAATAACATGCCCATCAGTTTACAGCAATGCCCATGAATACTTCTGTAAGCTGCATCTGTAAAGTAGAACACAGATCTAGCTAAAGTCTGTCGGTGATTTCTGAACATGTACACCATGCATTTTTAAAATGTGGTATAAATATCATTACCAAGAGATGCTTGGGTTCTAAAAATGTGGGTGATCATGAGCCCACAAGAAAAATTTGAGTCCAGTACTCAAATATCTGTGCCCCAAAAATCACTGACAGTACCAGTGTATATAGGTATCTGTTTTTCTTCTAAAGACGACTACACCAGTGGCTGTAACACGGCTTTGACCAATTAGAATCCCTTAAGGAGTTGATAAGTACTTGTAAGAACACTAACTGCATTACCAATATATACATATGATACAAGTGTAAGCCATAAGTGTTTATACCCAAAATGGCCATTTGGGGCATTCTACGTTTATATTGGCATATATATATATATATATATATATATATAAGTGTAGTTGCATACATATATTTGCACAGTAAAGCACATAATTTCCAGGGGACAAATATAAGAATTGGTTTGACCTACGTTAAGGTTTTTTAGCTATCCAATTACTATGTAAATGATCTGTAAATGTATTTTAAAGTACAGTGTACGATTCTTTTGCATTTGATTTAACTACTGGCTGGCTACAATTGTAAACTATAGAAAAGAAGAATACATGTATATTAATACACATTAAAGATACATGTGCAAATGAGATTAACACACATTCAAATCTACATTATGAGACCTATAATAAAAGCTCACGAAAGTCACACTTGATGGGTGAATTTTCAACTGTTTCTCCTCGTACCTATTTTTTGCTGCACTATAGTCACTAATCAGTCTTCCACCAAGCTATGCACAACTACTTTTTTCTAGAAGGTCAATTACATGCTAAAGGTTAAAATATGTCCATCCACTGTTTATAATTAGGAGCAGTTAGACTTTCAAATAAGTTAAAATAAAATTTCCCCATTGTGCCATGCCCCACCCTGCAAGGAGATATGATATACTTCATTTATACCAAGTTGAAATCCTTTGACAAGGGATGATGCTGCATATAACATAATGACTCAAGATGTGGACACTACATCATACTTCAATTGTCTTTCCGTTTCCACTCTTGTTCCTTGTATCAAACAGTTTACAAAAATTTATTATATAATCCTCTCGACAAAATTGAACTTTTGATGATTTCCCCAAATATCCTAACAACAGGTTTTTGAAGTGACCCATCCAACTACCTCCACCCTCCAAATAAAAAAATACACACATCCTCTATATAGCTACCTCTCATAGATGTCTCTCTCTCTCTATATATATAGCTACCTCTCATACAGGTGCATTTATCAGTCACACAACACCGTTGTTTAACTTTGGTAAACGTTTAAGTTTTACTGGTGTCCGTTTCGTAGGACAAGATAACTATACCACACAGGTAGCAGAGTTCAATGAGAGATACACGTGACTGTGATTCATGCATTACTCGGTTGTCAAGATTTTATAATGGAAAGGTAGAATGATAGTTTCGGAGGTCCAAACAACACACCAAATGTATTATGTCACACGTTTTGGGGCACAGCGACTTTTTTTAAGTTGGGTCGACCTGGACATCTTTTTTAAAAATTAAGATGATGAGTCCCATCACAACATAAATAGGTTCTCAAAAAGTTGGTGAGTACCACATATACAGGGGAAAGGTGTGTCTAGGACTCAAATATCTGTGTCCCCAAATTCAATGGGGTTGAATATAATAAACTTACTGGTACATTTGTATAATCACAGGTTTCATTTTAGAGCTTAAATGACAGTACATACATATACATGTACAGAAGAAATGAAAGATGCTGATAAAGAAACTGGTAAAGGAAGATGCTGGCTTTAGCACAAGTAGTTTCGTCAATTAATTATTGTATTTTTGGGTTGAGTATATTGCTAATATTTTGACATTGCAATACATATAGGATATATTGCAGACTTTTAAAAAAAATCAAGTAAACTTGATTAAACAATAACACGGTGCATTCTGTTGAGAACATGGTTTTCCATAGTCCATTTCTTGCTGGTCACAGAGGAATGCTATATATATATATGATGGAATTTTCCTGAACTATGTCATTTTACGAAATGTTCAGTTATACATAATGAAACATTACTCAAAATATATCTTGAACTTGTGGAATTTTGCAAAGTCTGTCCGCAGGTTAGTACGTATGTATACTTGAAATATAAAATTGTACACATCTGGAGAAGGAAGAGAGAGAAGAAGCCTGGTTGGTTACCATGAAAACCTATGATGTGTATCTTACAACTATCTTTTGTATAGTGCCCTTTTTTATTCTGTAGGAAACACTAGCTACATGTATTATTATATATATAAAAGTAATAGAACTATTCTGGCCAAGCAAAACTCTTACTGTAACTTAATAACAAAGATAGAAATTTTATAATATGCCTATGCATGAGAATCTCATTAATTTCCTGTGTTGAAAGTGAAGGAGGTGAAAAGAAATTTATAGATATTTCCAAAAAATATTAGTATAAAGATTGAAATTTGTATTTATAAATTGGTTTTAGTAAATATATGTGAGATAAAGTTGCTTAGGTGAATACAGAAATACAGAAATGTTTACAACTTACCCTCTGACTTTCTGTGTTTAACTGGAATTGAATTTGAAGCAATTATTGGGTGAACTATCTTTGAGCTACACTACAGTGTACATTATTCAATCTAGAATGTTAAAGTTTTATTTAAATTCTCAATCATAATTCAAAATATTACAGACAGGTAGATGTTGTGCTGTTGACAAAGCAATTTTTGCAAGTACTATAGATACTCAATTAGGAAAACCAAAAGACATAGTATTTATGTAATGTAATTATGAACAGTTAGTTGCATGCTACATTGTAGATAAAATATTAGACAGATGTTTTAAAAAGGAAAACACCCATTTATCAATATTGATTATTGCTGGTTTATACCTGTGATTTACATTGCAGATGCAACAGTACAGAAGTTGTTTGGAAACTCTAACAATATGAACTGTCCGGTTCTGCGACGCTAATTCATCTTTTTAAATAGTTCAAAAATTTAATAAAAAAATATCTCCAAATGTAAAACTTTATAGGACTGATGTTTCAATCTATTTAAATTAAAACTACAATATGAAACAGATCTAAATATATACTATTGCTATAGGTTGCAATTTTCATGAAAGCTTAAACTTACACTGATACATGAGACAGTATAGGAAACTTTTATATAATTGATTAGGATGTTAAAAAAAAATACTACAAAATACTTGTACCTATGGCAATGGAGCTGCGTATTCTGTTTTATTAATAAATTAAATGCGAAGAGTTAGTAGTAAACACTTTTGAAATAACATATTTTATATAATTACATGTATTAAAACAAAGCCAGTGTTTTATTCTCAAGTGTCCCAGGATACCTCCCTGCTCAGACATTATTACATCAATAGGTCTGTTTAACATTTCAGAGCCGACCTTTAAAGTTTAATGCTTACAGCACATGAACATATGTATACTTTGATAATGACTCAATTTAGGGCAGACATACGACAATTTAATTCATACCGTCTGGATGCTGTGTTAAAAAGAATATGGTGTGCACATATGAAATAGCTCACTGTATATGTCGGATACAGCATATTATATAAAACAAAATGTATTTTCTATGTACCTGTGTATTGAAATTTTAGCTACAATAAAAAAAATACTCTTTATTCTGTAACTGTCATTCCTTAAAATAGGAAAAGACAAAAGAGAAAATTCGCAAATTTATAAAGTACGATATTTTTCTTTTCTTTTTACATATTAGAAAACAGACAACTGTTTTGTGACAGGTGACACCCACCCGAGATTGAAGTGAAAGTGATACATCCTTGACAGTCGCCAGTCGGGAAAGTGACAGTGTCAAAACGATCGCGAACATGAGACACCTCCAGGTATGCTGTAATATATTGACTTACCTTTTCCACCTTGGCTGGAACCGTGGTTTCCCATACCGGTATGCGTTTCTCACGACTCATTCAGCTTGCACATTTCGCTGAGTATTTACAAAATCTAAAGAATTTGTAATTGTTTTCGAGTGCAAAGGTATTTTAACTAAAGGCGGAAGTTCCGGTTTTGGTCTCGAGAGGTGAATCGCTGAAATCATTGAAAAAAATATTTCGTCGCTTAGGCCGCTAAAAACATAAATTCCACATTTCCGGTTTTCCTGATGTTGGTCCAACAATTCGTCTGACAATCAGCAGTTTATAGTAGGAATGTGAGCTGTATTAATTTCATACATTTGACTGACTTTTTGAAACAATAGTTTTACCAAAATCACGAACGCAAATGTGTCTATTTTATTCCGAATATTCGTGTCAGACTCACCAAGACATGCAAGAGCCCATGAGGTGAAGTTTTGATGATAAACTTTCAAAAACAGGTTTGAAGATGCTGTTTTGGAAAGTTACAGATTTAATAGATTGAGTTCATGACTGCAGATGTCCCGATTAGTGTGAATAAGTGGGTATTCAGACGCGTGTTGTCTTGATATTGAAATTGTGTATATTTTACAGTTATAAGTGAACATGCATGTAACTTAAACGTAAACATCTTTGAAAAAAACACACTCCCCTCTTTAAACACTCCAAAGATTCTTGGAGAAGTCCGGTCTGCAGATGGCTAGTTCAGCTCCAAGCAGTGCCTATTCCAGATCGGGAACAGGAAGGGGCAGTGCCACAGGGAGCAGAAAAACAACTCCCTCAAGTGCTGGGAAAGCTGGCAAAAAGGGCTCCCTGACCTGTTCCTCTGATAGTTCCATAGGGAAACTAACTGCTGCTCACCCAAGACCGTCAGCTAAATTAAACCCAAAAACAGTTGACCCAGTAAGTATAACTACAGGGGCCTGATTTGAGGATTTTGAGTGATAAAATTGTAATATTTTTTATTAATAATACATCTATATACATATGTATATATAATATAGGTAAATTATATATTATTACAACACTTTTTATCCTGTGTTTATAAATACACATTCTAATACCGTATACACTTTCAAGGTACTGAATCAGGTCAAGTACACTCTGCCGATTGAGCTATATAGTATAGGTATCAAGACCTACATAGCTATATTCACCTATAAATTCTAGCTGTATTGAGCTATACTTTCTCAGATTTCAATTTTCATTAAATTATAGCGAAGTCGAATAAATCAATAAGGTTTATCATAATGTTGACTACAAAAATAAGCATACAGTTAAAGATGTTTATTTTCATTTTTCATATATAAAAAATTCCGATTTTTTAAAAAGAATACTTATGTTTAATGTCTTTTGTTATCAACCTAATGATACAATCTTCTTTTTAAAGCAACTTTTTTTTCATTTTCCTTATAAAAGAAAATCGCTTGAAAATGGCTCAAAAGACCTATTTCAGATATAGGTCAATAGAGCTATTATATTATAGGCCTTTACAGCTATATAGCTCAATCCGCAGAGTGTACTGGACCTGATTATATATTGAAGTTGCACTTTGTCAATTAATTAACAAGGAAATCATCCTTATGTGCCATTGCAAGCTCAGCTGCTTCTGCAATTTTAAATGACAATGAATGGAATGCAATTCTGATAAATTAAATTTGATCATAATAAACCATCGGTGAGTTGTAAGCTTCAAAAAATCTTATTGATCGCTTTTATGATGCTAGGGGAAAGTCAGTTTTAGTTGACTAAAATCGATTGTAGATTGATTGATGCTTCATAACTGCATAAAATAAGAAAATGCATGTGCCACATATAAAATACTCAGGCCTTTTAATTTTAATTACCCCTAATTATATAAGATTAAAGGGGCTATTTAGTAAAATGACAACCTGAAAATCCAGTCTATACATACTGAAAATATATATCTCCTAACGAAATTTTCTGTAGTTGACAATGTAAACAGAGCGGATATTTGTTGGCAACTTTACACGACAATATTTATAAATAAAGATTATTTTTATTATTATTATTATAATTATCTTTCGTGTTGTATTCTTTTTTACCAACCAGACAACTATAAAATCTGGAATGAAAAAGAAAAACTCCTTGGGGATTCCAATGTTCATACGAATCATTCGTACATGATGATGTACATTTCCAGGCTGAAGAAATAGATAATCCAGATTGCGCATCAGTTTATTCAGGTTTATAGACTAAAGTTTAATCAGGGCTGGCTGAAATGGTTTGTTCAGCAACAGATTAAGAGAAAACAGGTTATCCTTTAATAGAAGGTGAATTGGCATGGCAACTTTTTTTTATCTATTTAAGGTGTTCTGTTCTTACCCAAGCTTAAGTTATGTTGTATACATATTTCCTTTGCTTAATAAACTTATAACAATAGAGGTACTCACCCTGAATCTGATGGAACACATTATTTGTTTGTTTTTTTCAGTTCAAAAGTCCAGCCAAGAATCAGTCTGCTTTTGCTGCAGTGTACACCAATGGAGGGGTACCTTGTCGGTAAGTTAAACAACTTTTAAATAACAGGTAATGAGTTGTGATGTACGTACACTGTAGAGGGGTACCCTAGTTGTGAGATTATCATAATGCAATGCTGAGATTTAATTTGAATATAAATTATCTAAGAAAAGGGATTACAGCATCATGTTGGATTAGAAAAGGAGATCAGAATTCTCAGGTGTCGATTTAGACTGGTGTCACTCTATCTTGATATTGCCATGAAGACTTTTACAGTGTACATAGATTTAGAGGAAGATGGCCTTTGGTTTCTGGAAACTCACATTTAAACATATACCAGCATATATACTGGATTATCTCAAGCAACAAAGCAATACCGTAGGGAATACTTTCATATGGCTTCAAGCAGAAAAAATATCCTGTGAAGTTCAATTTATCACCAAGGTGGAAGACAAGACTCTTGAGACATGAATTACGTCTTAGTTGTCTTATCCTTGACTTCAGCAAGTCATTTATAACACAGTTCCATGTCAATGCCATTTGAAGAAGGTGTGAATCTGTAGAATTGATTGCAGTATAAATAAGTGGGTTTGGTCTTGGTTGGTGGCAAGATTTAGATTTTGAACAGCATGTAGTGGTAGACAGACCAATCATTAAATCAAACACAGCAGATGTGATCTGGGGTCTCCCAAGGAATGTCTTACCTAAATAAGTCCTTGATATTCACAGACCTGATATATTATTTAATGATTTTGTACTTTGCATTTACAAGTTGGACTAGTGGTGGTTGTTTACACAAAAAAATCACTTATTTTTGATACAAAATCCAGATTTACATGATCGTTACTTTGTATTTTGTGACTGTATCATGCGATTATGTATAACAATTATTTTCTAGGTTATTTCATGGATCAGTCAAACACAAGTTGGCCTGGGACACCTCACCAGAGCAGGTGCCTTTTGACCCCATCCTGGTTACTTTAGCAGAGGTAAATTATGCCTACCGCCCCGGTAATTATCCTAAAGAACAATCCATGAGGAAATAAAAAAAAATGTTTTCAGCAAGTATTCTGTTCATTGATATACAATTAAATAATTTACTTTACTTGCTTATCACAAACTCTTGTTCAAAATAACATAACACCAAACATAGAATTGTTTGATTAACAATGTAAAAATATTTTTTGCATTAATTTAAGCAAAATGATTAATTGTTAGGTTTCCTGGTATGTAGTTGTTATATATTTTTTATGTACCATAGTTTATTAGAGTTGCCTCCCTTTTTCTGCTCTTCTAAGTCATACACCTTTGTTAAACTTTGCTTTATTGCTTTAACTGTAGAAGTCAAACAGACATAGGTCTATGTGCATCTTAAGAGACTAATTCTACAACTTCAGTTTTATATCATTTAGGTCGAAGTGACCTAAACTTTCTGCTTCATTGATTTTGTTTCTAGAGGTATTGCGTTTTGCTCTGTTGCTCTTGAAGACCTACAGTTACTAAACATCTTTATGTGGATATGTCTTGAGAGTATAACACCAACATTATACCTTAATTTTCTGCATCATTGACTTATTAAGTCTGATAGTAGGTCGTCAGTTGTACAACATATACATGTATATATACAATGTATAAACATTATTTATTTTACAACAATGGCTCCAACTTATATTTACTGTACATTTGTATGTTAATCCCTGTTGTTGGTCCAAATGGAAGCATACATAGAGTTTTAATCTGGGAGGGAAAAGGTGTACCTGGAGAAAAAAAACTAATGGTCAGGCATCAAGTTACCCAAAACTTTTTTACGGCACAGATCATGGAATAAAACCATTGCCGTCTTGCATCGATGAAAGGCAATTGCCCTATCCACTGTGCCACCCAACCACCAAAACCTGTTGTACAATGTATTTACTACAGCTAGTTATTCAATGAATATGACTAATCATCTTACACTTGTTACAGGGTTTGAAGGAGAGTGTGCATCCATATATGTTTGTGGCTAGGACTGGATTTAAAGAGCTACTAGAAGTAGAAGGTGCTACAGGAAAAGTGTCGCCAATCTTGCCAAAAGTCTGTATAGCTGTTCGTGCAGCCTTGGTAAGTTTGGAGCCATCATCATAACACTGCTGATAAAATGACCGTGAGAGCCATTAAGGAATAGGGTTGAAAATGAATGTGTACTATTAAAGTAGGGCGTGGTCACTGTTGACACATAAAACCTTAGAGTCCACCTGGACAAATTAAATCTATTACCTGGGCGAGATCTGGTTATCCACTCTCGGGCTAAGATTCTGTACCATAATCCAAACTGAGATGTAAGCTGAGGTTGAGGTTGGGATGTTACAGAATCTTAGCCCGAGACTGAGTAACACAATCCTTCTCAGTTTCAGGTAATTGATTTTTCTCTCTCAGCTTTTAGTTAAAAACATTTTGCTATAGTCCACAAGTATCCTCTTCACTACTAAGGATGTGTTTGAATGCTTCAGAGAAAACAAGGTAATTTGTCCTTACAAAGAAAAAAAACATATTTCACGGTGTAGATTATATTTTATCTAGAACACCAGGAATCAATAACAACATCAAAACAATATATATAACAACAAAAAACAATGGCAAAAATGTATTGTAATTTGTATGAGATGAATACATCACTGTGTGAAAATCCTGCTAAAATGTTTTGGAACAGTGCCATACAGATAGGACAGGACAGAAATATCTAGCACATAGTATCACATTGGATATCACTGTCTAAGGTGCAAGAAAGTCAGGTCCAAGTTTGAACAAAAACACTTTAACAGTTTAAGAGTTTTCGATACATTCATGAATGTTTATATTTATCAAAGCTTTATTAATAGAGTTCTGTTCTCAAATGTTTTTATTATAATTACCAGAGCCATGCTGAGGGATCTGTATTTGAGTCTGCCCTGGATGCACTGCTACAGCTAAGTGAGGTTGCCGGTCCATTACTGAATCAACATCTCAAACTGCTAATAGTGCCTGTAAGTTTTAAATCGGAGCAGTGGTTTATGATGAGAGTACACTCTGTTTTTTGTGTTATAGCTCCATAACATAATAAATATATTCAAGTCAATCCTTCTAGTTTAATCTACTATACACAATCCCTGTGGAAATCCACTTTTATTGATGGACTCTTTTCTCTTAGAAATTAGTACGCCGCTGTATCTCAGCCAATCAAAAGCGACGTTACAAACGGCGACGTTATTTATTTACGTGCTAACATAAATTTTTAAGCCAACGAAAATGCTTGTTACATGCAAGATTAAATAATCAGCAAGTAAAACAAAATTAAACCCAACGCTCGATTGGGGACTTGAACCCAGGCCGCCTTGGTGAAAGGTAATTGCGCTATCCACTACGCCACCTGACTACTCGACCCCCTGAACATGATCGATCATATATTTTGTCAGATATTCATGTAACTATGTCATCACATTATAGTTGGCAATCATCCTGTTGTAGATTGCTAAAAGAATGATGGAAAAGAAACACAGAGACAGGATAACAGAAGCTTTACAGACTCTGGAACAAAACGGAGGAAAGGTACGAACACCAGAATTAAGTTCACGCCAAATATTGAGTTATTTCCGATAAGTAAATATAACTGAAGATCTGCCCATAAGATTTGATATAATCTGCTTGATTATATAAAATTAAGTAATTGGGTTCTTTAGAAATAGGCTTCAGTTTCATTGTTTTAAAGTTGGAATTTTTCTTTTATTAGGAAGCACTGCCATCAATAAAATCTAAAGTTCCGACCTATTCCTCCATCTTTGGCTGATGTGTGTAGTGAGGACAACAATTGTGTTTTCACTTGTGGAGAACCCATTTGCTGAACGAATCAACACCTATGTATTCACTTCAGAGCTGACCCACAACGGACACCACAGACTGCTGAGGATAGCATGGAGGATATTTTTTTATAAAAAGTTTCAGTAATTGAACTTATTAATTAACAATTTGTGTTCCCTATGTTTTAAAACAAAATATGTATGTAGAAATCAGTTGTTGATTGATTTTTCTATGCAATAGACTTATTACAGTTAATAAGGATGAAACGGATAGGATCTGATTATTAAAAACAGTAGTTACTGTTTTATGAGAAGTTCTTTTTACACAACCAATAAAATCTTCTGTGTGATGTTTCGATGACTTGTTCGATATGTGCACTGTCACCTTCATCAGACAAATGACCAGTGAAGCGTATGCACACAAAGGTGTAAATTGTGTACGAGTTGTCCACAAAATTGATGTTGATTTCGGCTACGCTGTAAGCGTATGTACAATAGTTGTTATTTATGTACCGAAATGACTCGATTCAGCTACGCTTTGTTCAATACTTGGTCATAGATGTGTGCGAGTCTTTGAGCCCCCTCGTCTCGATTTAAGTCATCGAAACTTTACACAGAAGATTTTATTAGTTGTGTAAAAATACCTTCTCATAATCCATACTTACCAACCTGAAGAAAATGTTTAGAAAAAGTAGTTACTGTCCATTGGATCTAAGCTGGTCAGGACACTGGAGATTAACTCCAGTATAGTGTAACCTTAAATAAATCCAGAATCTGTAACAAAGCTTCCCAGAAATCTGCAGTATTATTGACATAATTTCAAAATGAGAACAAGTGTATAGATCTTGCTTTCATATACAATATAGTATAAAATAAATGTGTTTCTATAGCTTATAGTCTGGATCAATGGAAAGTCTATTAAAGAAAATTAATATACAAAGTAATAGTTTCAGCAAATATGAAATCTTTTTTGAAAATAAATACACATGTATATAACAAACAGGTCACCATCTGACTAAAACATGTAATATTAAGTCCGAGAAAATTTTAGTTAAACATTCTATTTTGAAGATGTTGATATTATATGTATTAACTTTTAAAGGAACAACTGGCCATTGTTCCAGAGCTTTATCTCTCTTATAACCACTATAGGTTTTTTCACTCACGACTGCTGAGAGTTGATAAACTTTTTTTGCCTGATAAAGTCCTAAGAATATTTAACAGAAACATTCCACCTGACCGCCTTTACACACGGTACAGTGGTAGTATGTACGACAGTGAAAGGTGGACATCATCATTAATGGAGTTGATCACTTATATTATGTCTAACATGCTATACCGGGGATCATATTTAAAAGGGTCGCCGGCACACCGTGTACATGACAAGTTGAGTTGGAGGTCACTATGAGTGATGTTGATTCCAACCATGATGTGTTTGACGGTTAACAGTCTTAACACTCAAACATGTTAACAAAAAAAAATCATGCCATCGTTGTTGTAAAATGCACTGTCTCTTTCACATGTAGATTATTTACCAAGGTACACATTGATTTTAATAACAGACACTTTTAACCACTTAAAACATCTGTTTATACTTAAACAGTGTTACGTCCTACAACATAGCTGAATTTGTAATGATAGGCAGGGTTTGATTGCATTGTTGGTTGTTTATATAACATATTATTTGTTTCCGTCCATGTTTCTAAAAGACAATTTTAACCACTTAAAACATCTGTTTATACTTAAACAGTGTTACGTCCTACAACATAGCTGAATTTGTAATGATATGCAGGGTTTGATTGCATCATTGGTTGTTTATATAACATATGTATTTGTTTCCATCCATGTTTCTAACTATTATTATATTTGTACACATGTATATGATGTAAATTTAGTATTACATTGTTTTTGCTTAAAATTCCAACAAATGGCCCTACTTGTACAAGGGAAAATCTCGAAATCCCAAAGTTAATGGAAAATTGGAATGAAAATCGAAAATTGAAGATGCTTCATTAAGTGCTATTCCAGATATGAATAAATTGAGTATTTATTGAAAGGGTGATCTAAAATAATCGTTCACATTTGTGTAGTAGGCCCGAAAAAAAACATTGTTGTGTGTGGCAAGTCACCAAAATGAGTCCTGGAGGATTTCCTTGATATCGCTGCCAGTTTTATTTTCGCCAGTTACACCACCTACATTATAAGGGTGAAATAATCATTACAGCGAACAATAGTAAACCATAATACACAATGTAATTAGATATGAAGGATGAAATTAGCATTAAGCCAATATAGATTTTACTGGCGAATGACTAACGTTTGACTGGGCGAACATTTCCTGGTATACCGTATTGAATATTGGAATAGACCTTAGCAGGGTTTCTTAGCACAATCAATATTGCATATGTATGTTTGTATATAGGTTATGAAATTATTGTTTTATTGTAAAAAACAGGAATTGTATGTGACATAATCAATTTGAACTATACAGATGTTAGTTCAAAAGAAACAAGTCTATGTGCATTGATGCTGCTGAATAATAGATTAAAAAAATAATATGAAAATATTCAACATCGTCCATGTGTAAATCACAGAGCTAGTATCATAAATTGCAACAAGAGAGTTAATGCTATAGATTGAAACCTGAATGTTAGAGGTTCAGATTGAGGTATGAGGAACTGCTATAGATTGAAATTGCAACTAGCCTTATAAATTGAAAAAGCTACCATTTTAGATTGAAATTTGAGCTAGTCCTCTTGATTTAACTCAAAGAGCTAGCACTGTACAGTAGTTGAAATCATAAATCTAGCACCAAAGATTGAAGTCCATGAGCTTGCATTATAGATTAAAATTGCAGAGTTACTGTTAGAGATTGAACGGTATAGATTATAGATTAAAATAAAGCAGTTACAAAACTAAAATTATAGGTTAGCATTAAAGATTGAAATCAGAAGGCTACTTTACATGTTAAATACAGGTAGATTGAAATCAGAATGTAGAATTATAGATTAAAATAAAACAGCTCAAGAAAACAAGAATTATAGGCAAATATTATAGATTGAAATCGAAATGTAGGATTATAGATAGAAATCACAGAGCTATAGTTACAGCTTAAAGAAAGAAAGCTTAGCATTTATAAGAAAACTAGAGGGATATTGATAAATGTTAAAGAGCTAGTTTCAAAGATTTAGATCATAGACAAAGACTTAGTAATGGAGAGTTCGTACTTTATAGGCCCTATAACCACGGATAATAATTTGTGAACCGCTTTGAGACGACCTACAAACTAGGTTGTGATAAAGCGGTATATAAGAACCTTGAATTATTATTAATTATTATTACTTTAGAGTATTGGTGCTATTTAGAATAGAGCAGGTATTAACATCCAATTGTCAAAATTTGTATCTTATAACAGAAAGTAGCTGTATTAGATATCAAAACAGTACATGGATATTATCAACCAAGGTTCAAATCCTGGTCACAGCACCATTTGTGACGGGAAAGACAAATCCTGGTCACAGCACCATTTGTAACAGGAAAGACAAATCTTGGTCACAGCACCATTTGTAACAGGAAAGACAAATCCTGGTCACAGCACCATTTGTAACAGGAAAGACAAATCCTGGTCACAGCACCATTTGTAACAGGAAAGACAAATCCTGGTCACAGCACCATTTGTAACAGGAAAGACAAATCCTGGTCACAGCACCATTTGTAACAGGAAAGACAAATCCTGGTCACAGCACCATTTGTAACAGGAAAGACAAATCCTGGTCACAGCACCATTTGTAACAGGAAAGACAAATCCTGGTCACAGCACCATTTGTAACAGGAAAGACAAATCCTGGTCACAGCACCATTTGTAACAGGAAAGACAAATCCTGGTCACAGCACCATTTGTAACAGGAAAGACAAATCCTGGTCACAGCACCATTTGTAACAGGAAAGAGAGTAGTGTGCTTCAAAATCAAGCTCAAACCAGCAACCCCAGGCTTCCTTATTAAAATCTGCCACACATATATCTGGCTTTTATTTTTGCTAATCTAGAAGTTAGTATGTTTGAAGTGTTAATATTAGTTTTATTTTAATATATATATTTGATACTAGAGAGTTTATATAAACAGCACTTTTGTTTTAAACTCGGGCATTTTTTATTTAAAAAGGAAAACGTTACGAATGTATACAATTATAAGTTAATATATTAATAAGCTTGGAGGTTTCCACTATCTAATTTTCGATATTAAAGTGTATTTCAGAAAGAAAAAATGTGACAAGAATATTTTCTTTAAATGAATAATTTGTTTTACAATGATTTTTAAAATGAGGTACAAGTGCAAATATAAAGAAAATGGTAGTTGAGGGTAACAAACATTCAATAATAGATATCTTAAGCCACTTTTGTTTTTGACGTTTGTTTATGAAATGGGACAGACCTAGTGATTTGATGTTGTTTTCTGGCGAGCCTTGGAAAGACTTTAAAGGTGTACATGAACACTTGCAGTTGCAAGTCTGTCGGGTTTTACGCCTGAAACCTTACATTTGAAAATAGACAATCTCTATTATCTGGTTGGTCCAAGTAAACAAATAAGACCCAGGTTATGTTGTAAAAGCACATCTTACTGTAATGATGAAATGCTTATTGATAAAACATTGTACATACACTCGAAGGCCTGGCCTTCTGCATTATTCAACTTGTGTCATAATAAGAATTGTTTTTGTTTGCCAAGTACATTCTACTTAATGCATGTACCCAGGAACTATTTTTTTAATGTAATTTCATTGTTAACGTAAAATTTGTTGATGTTTATTTATTTTTGTACATTCCATAAAAGAATTGAATACAAAACAGTTTCTTTGTTTCATTTTTATTATGCAATCAAGTGACACATTCGTATGCAGGACTGTTTTCACAGGATGTTTTCATTTCTCAGGGTATGTGTTTCATTTAATACGACCGCAAGCATCACTGCCTGAACTAACAGAACTTATCTCATCCTCAATAGTCCAGGGGTTACGCTCGCTCTCACCCCCTGCACCCACAGAATATGTCATAGCAAAATCAAAGGTTCAGTGTACACTATCTTGTGGATGGGACAACACATCCGTGATACTCCAGGGGTTACGCTCATTTTGGCTCTCTGCACCCCTGGAATATGTTAAAGCAAAATCGAAGGCTCAGCATGCATCACCTTCTTGGTGAGACGAGGAGACTTGTTTGATCCTTTGATGTACATAAAAAGAATCTGTCGGTTCACGAAACCGTAAATTGACTTGGTTTGAAGTCAGGTGTTGCTCCTCTGTAATATCTTTAAAGGACAAGTATCGGCCTAGCGAGATTTTTACCCGACACCAAGCAAATAGCTAGCCACATGTCTTCAGA